TCGCTCACGGCTGGAAGATCTGGCACGGACTTATAAGATACAAGTGTCCGAGGTTGAGGAATGGATTAAGAATGAAATCAAAAACTTCCAATCACAGGGTCTATTAAAGGAGGTCGAGAAAGAGTTGGCAGCTTGGCAACAGAAGGAGCGTGAACGCTTGCTTACCATCGTTCAGCAAAATGAATTGACAGTTGAAGAGCTGGAGAAGAAGATAAAAGATGATCAATCGTACTTATACAGAATGGCCAACATGTATCAGGTCAAGGTTGAAGAAATTGAAGAGTGGCTGAAAAAGGAACTGTTGCGTTTGCAAGGTGAGGGCCTAATTAAGGTGGAGGATCTAAAAGACTGGCAGAAGCAAGAGCGCGAACAAATTTTGAAGATTGTGCAAGAAAACAAGTTGACAATTGAAGAATTTGAGAGGAAATTATTGGCCGATAGACAACGCCTGCAAGATCTCTCACAGACATATAACGTGCAAACATCTGAGATTGAAGGTTGGATCAAGAAGGAAGGTGAACGTCTACAGAGTTTGGGTCTGTTGCAGATACAGGAACAGCTGAATAATTGGCAGAAAAACGAACGTGATCGTCTACTTGAATTGGTTAACAAGAATAATCTCTCCATTGACGAATTGCAAGAGAGTATCACAAAGGATCGTCAACATGTTTACACACTGGCTCATCAGAATCAAGTACGCGTCGAAGAAGTCGAAGAATGGATCAAGAACGAGATACATAGACTGCAACAAGAAGGCTTGATTGAAATAGAGAAACTTAAGGACTGGCAGTCACAATGGCGTGGCAATCTCACAAACATGGTCAAAGAGCGCGACTTCACAGTTGAAGAGTTCCACAAGTGGTTACTGGAAGATCGCAAACGTCTGCAAGATCTTGCCATGCAACACAATGTGCACATCGAAGAAATTGAACAATGGGTGCGCAATGAGGAACAACGATTCATCAGTATGGGTTTGCTGAAACCGAACGAGAAGCTTACCAACTGGCAAGAGGTGGAACGTCGTTACTTGGAACGTATCACACAGGAACAGTATCACTCCACCGAGCAATTGGAGCAGCGTTTACGCCAAGATCGCGAGTTACTAGAGAAGTTGGCACGAGATTATAGCGTACAAGTGGAGGAAATCGAACAATGGATGAAGAAGGAGTTGGCGCGCTTGCGTGATGATGGTCAATTGCAAATCGACAACCTAACTGCTTGGCAAATTGCGGAGCGTGAGCGTCTCGAGGAGTTGATTAAACAAAACAAGGTATGGAGCGTTGAAGAATTTGAGAGTGAGCTACGTCAAGATCGTGAACACATGCAGAAGATGGCCTTCCAGTATCACACATCTGTCGAGGAGATTGAGAAGTGGATACAATCGGAGGTAGAACGCTTACGCCAACAGGGAAAGCTCAATATAGAGAAACTTACAGAATGGCAGCAGGCCGAACATGATCACATTTTAAGTTTACTGCAACAACAGTCCTCGATTACAGTGGAAGAGTTCGAGCAGAAAGTGCAGAAGGATAGGCTTTTCTTAGTCAATTTAGCCAATCAATATCACGTCAGCGTTGTCGAGATCGAAGCTTATGTGAAGAAGGTCATTGATGATTTGCACAACAAGGGCAAATTCGAAGTGGAAAACCTGCAGACTTGGCAGTTGGTCGAGCGCGACTACATCAAGCAGTTGATTCAACAATACCAGAATGGGCTGTCTACCGCCGATTATGAGCAGAAATTGCTTGCGGATCGCGCGCATTTGCATCAATTGGCTGATCAATATCGCGTCAACATCGAGCAAATCGAGAAGTGGATGATTGAAGAGTTGAAACGCTTGCGCAAAGACTCAGCCGATCATGTTCAGAAATTGGCCGATTGGCAGGTGGCCGAGGCGCAACGCTTAAAGGAGCTCATACGCCAAAATAACCAACTGAGCTATGTGGAATTCGAAGTGGAGCTCAACAATGAGCGTCAACGCTTACAAGAACTGGCCAAACAATATTCGGTCAGTGTTGAGGAAGTTGAGACATGGTTGCGCCAGCAGCTGGTGAATCTGAAGGCCACTGGTCAAGTGCAGGTGGAAAATCACACACAGTGGCAAAGCGATGAACAGAAACGTTTGATTGACATGCTATTACAGCAACAAAATAGTATCAGCTATGATGAGTTCGAGGCTCAACTGCGTCGTGATCGCGAACGTTTACAAAAGTTAGGACGAGAGTATAGCGTAAGTGTAGAACAAATCGAAACATGGATGCGCAATGAACTGCAACGTTTGAAGAACTCGGGTCTGTTGCAAGTAGAACAATTGACACAATGGCAGAGAACTGAACGCGATCACCTACAAGACTGGCTGAATCAGCAAAACAATGCCACCACGTATGTGGAGTTCAACGAATTCTTGCGTCGCGATAAGGAACGTTTGGAACGTATTGCACACGACTATCACGTAACAGTCGAGGAAGTAGAATCATGGGTGCAGCAGGAAGGTGCACGTCTGCAAATTCTTGGACTGATTGAACGACCACAGAGTTACATCAGCTATGAGGGACATAGTGATAATGATCAATGGAAGATTTACACCTTAGCGCACTTGAAAGCTGTCGCACAAACAGTGCCGATGAGCTGGCAAGATTTCGAAGACTATTTGGTTAAGGAACGTATGCGTTGGGAGCAATTCGGACGCCAGTATGATGTTAGGGTGGAAGAAATCGAAGAGTACTTACGCGGGGAGGCACACAAGCTCAATCAGCAGGGTGTCATAACTGGTTCGGAAATAATTGAAGAGTGGGAGATTCACGAAAGCCAGTACATACGGAATCTAATTAACGAACGTCTACGCAAGCAACAGCGCTGGTCGATTGAGGAACTCGAAAGACAATTGAAACAAGATCAGGAGCATTTGCGTCAGTTGGCTATACAATACCACGTCACAGTGGAAGAGGTTGAGGCGTGGTACCAGCAAGAACTGCGACGTCTTTTAGATCAGAATAAAATCGTAACCGAAAGTTTGGTCGATTGGCAACGTCGAGAGAAAGACCGACTTTACCGCCTGGTCACACGTCAACCAGGTTTGACTGTCACAGTGTGGGAAGAACAAATTTTGCGTGACAGAAATACGCTCAACAACTTGGCCGATGAATACCATGTGTCCATTGAGGAGCTCGAGTCATGGATACGCAATGAGTTGAGACGTCTTGGGGAACTGGAACTTGTACGCGATCTACACCAGTCTTTGGACTACAATAATTGGCAGAAGCAGGAACGTGAACGTTTGCGTGCTATTGCTAAGGACATAAGTATTACACAAACCGAATTCCTCGAGTTTATTGCTGCCGACACCGACTATCAGAACCGATTGGCAAAACTCTACGGCACCACACTCGAACAATTGGCGCCCTTCCAACGCATCGAAATCGATCATATGCAACGCGAAGGACTCTTGGATAACATAAAGCTGTTGACACTCGAGAAGTGGCAGAAACGCGAACGTGATCGTCTTTACAATTTGATAGGGAATCAAAACTTCAGTTTGAAGAAACTGCACAACTGGCAGCGTCAAGATGTCGTGCTTAACGAGTTGGCCGCCAGCTATGGGATTACTACGCAGGCACTGAAAGACTGGCAAATTAATGAATTCGAGCGTTTCTTAAGATTAGCTGAACACTACAGTTGGCAACTGAATCAACTGCAGAACTTCCGTGAAAAGGAACTGCGTTACATTGAGTTCGTAATGCATAAGAAGACCACCAATGAGGTGGAGCGTATGAAGTGGAGTACGGAGGAGGCGAAACGTATGGCAGAATTAGGACGCAAGTCCGGTTTGAGAAACGAAGAACTAATCCAATGGCGTCGTATTCTTTACCTTCTCTCTCAGGGTTTGCTACCCATGGACGGTAGTACCGGCTTTGGCGGCCACGAAATTGGTGCCGGATCAACTAATCGCACCGCTTGGCCACATCAAGTGATCTCCAAGGATCGTGGCGATCAACCACCGCATGTATACGAAGATAATGTTGATCTCGAAGAGCCTGGCTTGGCTGGTCAAGATAACAATTTGTATCCACCACCATCCGCGGAAATGAAAGTCGAACCGACTACACAATACCCAGCATATGTTAGACCAGCGGCACCAGCACCAAGCGGTGGTGCGGGCGGACGTACAAGCGGTTACCGTTACAGCAAGAAGGAATACAAATTTACCGTGCCTGTGAGTGAAGTTGATGCAGTCAGTGCATCCGGTGCTAGCAGTGCGGGACGCGCACGTTACGGACGTGAGCGTGAGTTAGATACACAGCAACAACAACAGCAAGTGGATGACTTCGGACAACAACAACAGGTTGAACTTGGTTGGAATGGCAAGTTGGAGGATGGCGGTCAAAAGCAACAAGTTGATCTGGGTTGGAATGGTCAGCAACAAGTGCAAGGCAGTTACGGGCGGGGTGGGGCCAGCGGTTACTCATCTTCGTCTTCTTCGGCTGCATCAGCACATAGCTCATACGCTGGCGCGCGGGGTCAAGCCGTTTATGGTGGTCATGGACAACAACAACTACAGCAGCAGCGGGATGACTTCGGTCAGCAACAGCAGCAACAGTACCAAGATTTTGGACAGCAACAGCAAGTAGAACAGGGCGACTACAAACAAAACGCATGGGATCAGCAACAACAGCAGCAAGACCTGCAGGTCGAGGATCTCGACGGTACATTTGTGGGACAACATCGCGGTGCCAGCCAGAAGCAGGTGTCCAGCACCGAAGCGAATGCAGTAAGTTTAGCCTATATTACACACTGAGAAGATGTATTATTGCTATTATCTTTATTTATAGCAGATCGAGGTTACGGCTGAACCAGAAAGCTCTGGAATATGGGACTCATTCAAGAAGAAGGCTTCAGGGCTCTTTGGTTAAACTGACGACCAAATAAATATAGCTTAAAATCGATGATCCGAAGACAACGAAAAATCGACACTCTTTTGTGCATAAATTTCTTCATTTGTTATTAATGTAAATCTATTTCGTTTTTATGCTTTATTTTGTATTTTTATAAACAACGTGTCATATATTATTTGCTTTTGTTTGTATTTTTAATATTAGTTGCTAAGTTTTCTAAATGTGTACTCATACGCGAACGTTAAACGACTGCTTCGTTTTGTAATTAATTTAAATAAAATAATAATGGAATATAATACATCTTTTCTTTTGCTTACTCCATACTAGCCTCTCAAATCTATATTCTAGTTTCTATGATTTCCTTGTCGAAGCTTCTTTGCTTAGTCTTGCACATGTTTATTTTGTTTTATTACATATGTAGTAGTTTCGGTTTTTGTTAACTGTTAGTGTTTAACGGTACTTTAGAAATCTATAAAATGGGATATGCTGTAGTATTTAAGGATCTTCTGACGACTTCTTGTTTAAAATATAGGTTTCTATGTATGTTTTCTCGTAATCCTGAAATTCGGTTGTTAAATGAAAAGGATAGCTCTCCATAATCAGATTGATCCATAATTCAACGAAACTTAGATGGATACCTCTGAAATTATACTTGATCAGTACAACAAAAAAAGTACTTTATCTTGTTTGAACACGAAAAGAAATTAAAGATAGGGTTTAAGGTCTTACGAAATCTTTTAAGAGACTTAAGGGCGCTGTTCACGCCAAAAAATTTCATGGGTAATTTTTAGAAAGACAACAGATAGCATTCAATATCGGAGGATGTCAATTAACTATGCTAGTCCACAAATGATTCAGTAAGAATGCTCTCACTGAAATTAGAAGAATAATCAGAATATACCCAACACAAACGTGATTATAATGAAATATGAAAAAGAGACAAAACGGGCCTTTAGGCCGTTTGGTGCTTATTAAGGTTAAGTATGTGTTTCATTTATTCTTAACATAACAAGATTTAAGTTTTTTATATCTAGTTCCTAAAAATTCTGATCAATAAAAAAAAACTCAATGGTGCAAGCTAAATTCTATCCTTCGTCTCTAAAACAGTAACCGCTTATCTTACTAAGCTAATTTTCAACATTATTACTTGCTGTGGAAGTCTTCTCAACATTATGATACGTTACAACTACAAAAAATTATTAAATATTTTAACTGCATTTTCATATACATCTATACCTCGACCTTGGATTTTATAATGTTCGTACTTAATTAATTTTTAATAACACCCATATGAGACACAACGGTCATGGCAATTTGCTTTAAGAGTTCTTCCAATTTTGCAATAGGTTTGTAATTCTCAACCGATATGTGTATTCTTGCGTCAGTTGGGTGAATATACTGTGGGTCCATAACAGCTTTCTTCTTATAGTTAATAAGATCGTAATTGAGCCGAACGAGAGCCTTATAATGGATAAATCTGAAGGCGGGTAAGTGACTTGTTCAGATACGAATTTGGATTGACAAAATCAACGTGTTCTCATAAAGGTTAAAATATCAAGCATCAAATCTTACGATCCTAGCCTGAACACTGCTCAAAACCGTTTCAGGCATACCCTATATTTTTACCCCTTCAGCACAACCAACCAAAACCGTACGCCCTCCTCAACGAAAGTTTCTCTCTACTTTACCGCCATGACCGTGTGTAATAGCTTTGAGACTAACATTAACAGTAACTGTAATTAAATATTATTTGTTATATACTTGTATATAATGATACTTTAGTCTAGGCACTTGATTATACAGTACATTCCAATCAACAATTGATATACTCTGCAAACCTAACTTCTCCTCAAATTCCTCTTATCAACCGCATGCCGCATACAGATGATCAACTAATATCTTTACGTCCATCCTCTGTGGTGTATTGTCCACCGATCATAAATTGCATACCCTCGCCCGTTTCGCTCTCACCCGCAGCTATCAGACCGTCGTCGTATAGTCCATCCCCGGTTTCGTCTAACACGCGGTTCTTCAACTGCTCAATCTGATGCAGCAGCTCGAGCGTCTCGTCATCCAAGTTATCGTCCTCGACGCGCAATTGTCGCTGCTGTTCCTCATCCTGATCCCACTCGAGCGACTCCGGCGTGGAGATGTGCGACCATGAGTTGTGCGACGAGCAGGTGCGTGTAAAGGAACTGTTACGTCGTTCGTTGATCGGTGGTGGCGCCACACGACGCGTGCGAATGCGCTGTTCACCGCATTCAACTGCTTTGGCCGTCGCCAGCGCCATTGCTGCGGCGTTAAGTGGCGCATGCGGTAGCGACTGCGATTGCGAGTATGAAGCAAGTGAGTTGAGTTGATCATCGTCGTTGCTCAGATATTGCCATGAATCGTTGAGGTGTACGTGCAGCGGGTGATTGTCGTAAGTGTGGCTACGTTTGCTCAGACTCATCATGTGGTGGTTATTGTTGAGCGTGTGTAGGTGATGAATCGGTGTATTGTTGTTGGAGTTGGTATATTGCGCGAGGTTGTTGTTGCTATTGAGTGTGCTGGTGTGTAGTAGGGACTGAGTGCTGCGATGCATGTGCGGTGGCGGCTGATATAGTTGCCGCATGTGCGCATACTCATGCTCCCATTCCAGGTCGAGCGAGGAGCTTGCGCGCGAGCTGGCCGCGGCGTAATGAGCTTCGGTCAAGCAGTAATTGAGCGCTGACTCTTTGGCTAGTATGGCGTTGCTGAGTAAATTGTGTACGTCGAGGTTCTGAAGCTGAATGTCGGAGAGACTGAAGGGAATAAGAATATTTAGGTTTTTATAAACGTGTGTGGCGCTAAAAAGTGGTGCTGCATTATATTTCTAGTCAAGTAGTCTGTCCATTGAAAAGTAAATAAATCGAAATGCTAGCAAAAGAATAAAACACTTGCTATTGATCAGTACACATAGACTCACAGTCATACCCAAGAGTTTCTGCCCACTTGGGAAGCTGTAGCAAAAATTATACCTTCAAACAAGTAATCACTGCGGTGCTGCACTCATGGAAAAAGCAAAGAAACCGTTTTTATTCGCACGGCTACTGAGACTGAGCAGCAATCATCATTATTTCGAATATTGGTTAGGGCACAGTGATGAACTGTATATCCAGAAAACGTCCAAGGAGTACAATGCCTCAAAATGGCTCCCATAATTGAGTTAACGATTTCCACTGTCGAAAAATTTGGTGATGGGACGGAATGCTTCAGAATTGTGCTGCCTATTTAGAGACACGAAATGTTTTAATCTTTTACTAAATCTATTATGAAAGATCTGACTGTTCGAGTGGAGAGTATTTGGGAAGCTGTACATCTGCGTGAACAAATCATTATCTGAATATCTTCACCTTCGAAAACGGTTTACTATAAATGTAAAAACTCGGAACTAAGAAATCATACAATTCAATCCATAAATCTAGAAACAAGTTAGTATGCTACCTATCGAAAATAATTAAAATGAATTAGCCGCACCGCGTGGACAGTGTCCAACTCCGCTTCACTCCCTTCTAGAAGCATTTCGCAGTCGCGCAAGTTCTGGTTGATGTTCAGCGCTTACTGAGCTTACTGGAGGCATCGGTTCCAATCGGATGAAATTGGGGAAAGGGTGCGCTAGCAAGCTCATCGGCCTTGCTGTTTTCAGCGATTCTGCTGTGATCGGGCACCCACACAATTCTAATATAGAAGAAACTTCAAGCTATTACTAATGAAGTCATACACTCTGTCTCGAGGATCACAAGATCAGCAAAACAAAGTAAAAATCAAAACCACGCAACAATCGATGGAAGTAATGAAAAAAAAATGAAAGATTCTCTTTGACGAATATATATTCTCTCACCCTTCGGTTCCATTTCTATTAGTTAGTCTCGTGTATTGCATATCCTGTTGTTCCCAGAATTTGTCGATAAACTGTGGCCGCTTTTGCTAGAAAAAAATGTCGATTCAAGTAGTGAAAACATTTTTTGTTTTAATTTGATTGTTTTTCTTTGCACACTTTCCCACTCACCTTCGTTTTGAATTTAATAATGCGATATATGAAATTCTCTCTCGGGCATTTGTCGCTCGCATTCGACACGAGTTCCGCTTCTTGTTCATCTGTTGCATGTTGTTGCCGACGCCTATAAGTAGACAACACTCTGCTCAACAATGAACGCATAGCACGCGCTGAAGAGGTGAAAACAAATAAAACTCGCCATCGATACACACACACACACACAATTGCAATCGCACACACTCGTATTTGGTTGTAAGTGTACTCATGTACTAATGGAAATAAAGCATATGTTATGACATTTGCCAACGAAACGGGGTTGCAATGATAGCACTAAACACGCTTTGCTGCCAAACAAAGCAGTTAATGAGCACCGCTGTCGCTAGCGCTCCTCCCCTCAACGGCTTGTTGCTCCGCAACGGTAGAACATGTTGCATGGCTTTGCCACTTGTAGTATACTTTTAGCCCAGTGAACCCATAAGTATTTGCACAGCACAGCATAAAACATTTGTATGCTCGCCTTCTCACCTCCCCACCACTCTCCCCTTCACTCGGCGACTTGGCAGTTGAGTAAATCTGCGCCGGTTTAGGCATTTCATATGCAGCTCAAGTGTGTCTCATCGGATTGTGGCTGTAGATGCACTTGGTGCGGTCTTTGTTTTTGTGTCTGTGTGTGTGTATGTGTGCAGAGATAAAAGCTATTTATGTGTTTATTTTAAGCCAAGGTTCATGCGGTCGCCGCGCAGATATTTACAATCCTACGCAGACTGCCAAAAATCCATTGTGTCTGCTTGTTGCTGCGAGCTCATGGCAGCATGCGGCTTGTGGTTGACTAAGAGCATTTGCAACCAGTGACCCAATTAAGGATTGTAACTAGCTCTCGTAATAAGTTTTGATTTATATAAAGCTTTTAGGAATACTGCCAAAAGCGTTAAGTGGGATGAACGTTAGTGCTACGTTTCGGATTTGGGTAGGACTCGATTTCGAAAGATAACCTATGTTACGTGTTGTAATATTGTCTTTAGTTCTGATAAGGCTAGCTTTAGAATTTGCTGAACTGTGAAGGCAAGTGCCAAAAATTTCTCTTCTTTCAAGGTGATAATATTCATTTGAGAGAACTTATGGGTAAAGCGAGCATCAAATAAATCCAAATTATTTTAGGAAATTTGTAGAATTAATAGTACATGGCAGGATATAAATCCGGGTCCGTTTGGGGTACGTAGATGCAATTGTATTGGGTTGGATACTAGTTCAGCGCTACCATCTGGAACCCAAGTAATTGTCTCATGTGACCTTAATGGTATTCTCTCATATACTCTCGTAGTTTTCAAAAGTGGGTCGTTAACAATTCAAGTCTCTGAGCAAGGATTCAGTATTAGAGCAAATTTCAACACGCGTAAAACTGATAGACTTCTAAAGAGTCGACCAAAACTCTTTTAATTAACCCAACATGACACATCTGAACAGCTTTGTAATGTCGTGCAACGCCATAAAATAACAAAATTTAATAAAATCAATAGCTAGTCCACATCAAAAGCCGAAATGCCAAGAGTTTTATCACAGATGTTAATTTACATTGTAGCTGCTTAAAGATGCCTTTGAGTGCATTTGAAATTACCACAGTCTAATTAAGTTGTATGCGTGGCAAGAGTAAGAATATCTATAAAAGAGAGTTTACTTTATTTTATGAGGGAAGACAGACACATTAAAGAAAGCCAGTGAAAGACACTGAGTGGAGATTGTGATAAGAGGGCAATATGCTGGCGTTACTAAGTGCATATATACTTAAAAATTTAGCACTGTGAACATTAGGGGATACCTAATTTTCTGGGAATAATATAAACTAATATTTAATGAAATACAATGAAATTAATTTTATGGTTGAAGAGTTTAGAGCTCATCTGCAGAATTGAATAATTTTAAAGGAATTTCTGGTAATTTGAAGTTTCGGTTATTTTGAATTAGAAACGGCTAATAATCGGAGTTACTAGTTCAGGAATGAGATTTCAGAGTTAGATACTTATTTGCAATCTCTAAGCGTTATCTCAAAGCTATAGCGGAGTACAATTCGGAGGTGTGATTTGATGGAAAGGTGAGGTAAAATTCAAAAGTGTAATCATTCTAAAGATATCATCTAAAGATATCATCAGGCAATCGGATGGATCACAGGTGGCGGATAGTGAAAGATCTTTAGATATAAGGGTTAGTTACGAATAACCAATATGTAGTCTCATAGCGTCCAACGGTTGGGAGGGGGGGGCATAGCCTAAGAGAGGTTTTGGGTTGCGCTGATTTCCTCATAAATTAGGTGTGCCTATGATCCCTCTATCGACATGGATGGTATTTTGGCCCCAATCAATAGCTATTAATTCAACCAAAACGTCAAGATTGGAAAGTATCCAAGCGGTAACCTGGTATCGGGAATTTCCTCTACCCCGGTAGCCTGCACAATAGATTTGTGCTTGTTATGTAACAATAACACGAGTTCAAGAGCAGAAACCACTTGAGGCCTTATTTTCCAGTGGGAGATACAGGAAATGGTGATATGAAACCAATAACAAATATTTTGCTGCAGAAAAGTCACAACCCTTATATGCATACATATGTACATATATAAAAAAATATACAAGTTAAGTGATTCAAATAGAAATGTGATACTAGAAGGTCATGCAATGAACGTACAAGGCGATGTTAGAAGGTATCTAAGGGGATGCTGCAGGCGAAGGCGTTGAATAAATTTCACTTGCGTAAAAGAAAATATATAAATCAGAAAGCGATGAGTATTGAGGCGAGTTACGTGGAATGGCAAGTGATGCCAAAGCAATCACGCAATTATGGGATGTGGAGGGCAGTTACTCATATTACCTAGTTGCCATGAAAGAGATGCTGTGAACATATATATACTTATATAAACATTTACTTTATATTAGGGTGAACCAAAAAAAAAAAAAAAATTCAATATTTATTGAGCATATTTTCATTCTTTTGTGAAAAATATAAGTAGTTGTAAACATTATCATTTAGGATTTAAGGTTGGACTTTGACTTCGAATAACTTTTAGATGAATCGACTTAGATCATATTAGACCTTTTTGTAGATCGTCGAATTCTCTATAAGAATTAGTTTTCACTTTCACCACACAATGATTTGTTGAAATAAGAAAAGTCTGCTGTGCTATTTATATGGCAAATCAATAAAAAATCGTAATTGGCCACCTCTTAATATTAATATTGAGAGCTAAAACTTTACCAGAATTTTTTATACCTTGAACAGGGTATACACAACCTGAAATTTTGTACACGTGCCTTTCTTTCCAAAAAGCCGCTCATTTGTTAGCACTGTCGATATCTAACCACTATATCATATAGCTATTATATAAACTGAACGATCGGAATCAAGCCCTTGCTTAGAAAACTTTTTATATGACAATTTTAAGCAATGTTTTGTATTTGTGAAGGGTATTATATTTTCGGCTAACGTTTTTTCTAGTTTTTTGTTATTTCGGACGATATTTTAACGGTAGCTAAGCAAAAAAGTTGAACGTGTTTTTTTGGACAACCCTAATATATATATAATATATGCGAAACCATATTCGCCTACAAAGAAACCTTTGTCTGGCGACGCTTTAATGTTATTGAGTGCTTTCATTTAAAAATTTCCATTATAACAGGTATCCATGTCAATATGCAAGTGAAGCTGTATGAGCAACGAAGGTTTGCTATGTATGTGTATAACGCTACTTTTGCTAAATTAGATCAAATTTAATTATCTTCCAATTTGGCGTATACATAGCGGCATAACAAAATGGCAGTATTATGCGTGTGCGAGTGTATGTGTGTGCGTGTTATGTTGTACAACTTTTCGACTTCATATACACACTGCTCGCATCGCCGTCATGATACTCAAACTCACCACGCTGTCGCAATTACATTTTAATTAAGCGCGAACGCACGTCACTTACCACAAACAGGATGTTGCGGTGGAGGCCACACCGCCGCCATTAGCATCCTTCGACACGCAGCGCCCGAAACATGAGCCCATTGTTGTCGGCGTGTGGAGCGCTTGTGGCCAATGGGATTTACCAGCAGCCAGCCGCAATGAATTGGCTAACGGTGAATGCGTCTGTGTGCGTTTGGGAATAGCTGTTGTCTTGCCAACACAGCAACGTTGTAGCAATATCGTTAAGGCTACACCAATAACACAAACAAACACGTGGTGAAGCAGGTTCAATGTGTAGCGTATGGTCGTCAGGTGGGTGCGAGCGCTACTTCCGACGCTGTGGCTATAGTTGCCTGTGCAACCGTTTACTGCCACCAGAGTCAGCTGTGCTTGTGAATACCACTTGCACAGGCGTTGCACAGATTTTACCTTCGCTGGCCGCTGTGATCTGCACGCTAAGCTGGTTATGCGACGCACAGTTGACGAGCTCTTGTGGCTGCTGTGCGCTTTTGTTGTTGGCTTTTGCGGTAAAGTTAGTGACGCTGTTGTTGCTAGTGTTTTTGTAATGTTTATGGCTGCGTTCGTTGGCTGTGTTGCACTTAATTTTCCGTTATTATATTTTATGTAAGCGCTGCGTGCTTTAATTTTACGACAAACAGAGCAGCAAACGCAGAGCCGCCGAAGACAGGCATCCATTTGCATGGGAATGTATGCAGTTTTTCCAGCTGCGCGATGTCTTTAGCAAGAAATCTATATAATTTGTTGGGTAACTTTGGTTTAGACATTAGTGCATTTATTAGTTTTTGTTTGTGTAATTTGTAGTTGCTACTTCCGGCTTTTGTTATTGTTATTTCAGTTGTGCCAATGTTTTTGCTTTGGTTGTTGTTGCTGGTGTTACATGAACTTGTCTCGTGGCCGCCGATATGCTTTGGTTTAGTTGAAGTTTCAGTTTCAGCGTCGGCATTGGTTCAGGTCAAGGATTTTGTGGTGGTTCAATGTTGTTAAGCGCCGCAAAGTATGCTTCAATAATTACATATGTTTAGGGAAAACAAGTTTACAAGCGTTGTTTATTAAGTTTTTGCCATTTTCACAGCACTTATAGCAAATTGCTTTTCATATAAACACACACACTCACACATTGCTGTGGTAGCAAAACAAAGCGCTTGCCAAACGCTAGGCATTAACGCTAATCAATGTCGCTGCCTGCCATTTTCGATGCCTACTTTTGTGCGCGCACTAAGCGTACGTGAGTTTTCAATAATATTTTTCTTTAAGTTTGTTAACTTCTGCACCTTAGTTTAATTCTATTTTGTTTTATTTCACACAACAAAAGTCTTTTTAGTTCACTTTTCCCTCAAAGGCGTATGAGTAATTTTTAATCACTCGCCTTTTTCGCCATTGTTATTTTGTTCGCTTGTCACGACCGTGCCACATTCGCTGCCAACACAAAGCAACTTCAACCACAAATCAACCTAAACATGGTCAAAAGACAAAGGAAAAGCGAGTCAAGCAGCAAAAAAACAGCACCAAACACCCGCACGTCCGTGTAATAAAGTACGTGAAAGAATGAAAATAGAGAGCGCGTCAAAGTCTTCGCCGCCGTTCGAGTTGACGTTGTACAGCAACAGTGACTTCTGTTGGTGTTATCTGTGGCCCTTGTTTTGCTTTGAGTGCGTCACATCACTGCATGACACCGACACCAATGCCACAACTCTCACAACTATCATCGTACGCTGTGAAGCGCTCAGCTGCAAGCGCCCGCAAGCGTGTAAAAGTTCAAAACATAGTGCAAACAAACAAAGGCGCTCGTTGGGCTTATGCAGGTATGTAAAGTTATACTGATTTCAAAGAACTCGCTTACATTTTTTCTGTCATAATTTTGACTTTTACCTATTTGTTGAGCTTTTTTGTTTTTGCAATAGCTCGCCTGCAGTCCTAGTTGTTTGTATGTGAGCGCTCTTTGGGAGTGCATCAGCTGTTGTGCTGTCAAAATCAAAATGTGTTTGCTCCCTGGTGTGGCGTTGAGCTTTTACTACGTACAACAGTTACATGAGTGAGTTGAGAGTGCGAAGCTAACTGTTCTTAAATTTTCGCCTTTAATCGCTTTATTGCAACTCTCACCATCATGTGACTTTAACTCAGAAAAGTAACTTAAAGCGGCATGAACTTAAAGCTCAAGTGTTTTCTCGAGTTAAGGGTTTATATGTTTACTAAAAGTGGGAAACCTTTTTCAGCAACCCGCTTAACAGTTTTATAAGTAAAAATACTGAAGTTTGGAAGTGTTTCTCAAACCTAATTTCTTGAAGTTTGGGCGAAGTTTTGTAAGTTATAAAAATTAGAAAAAATATTAGCTTCAAACAAACATTTAGTCTCGCCAACAACCCTGAATCTTTGAAGAGTCTGAGGACCATTACACTTGGCTTAAAACTGTCCTACAACCTCTTATATTGTATTATATATATGTATATACTATATGTTCATACATACATATATCGGTATATACCAAATTCTTAAGTATACAAACATATGTACATACTACATAGATATTTGGCTCTGTAGTAAATGTTAAAATTTTATAATTTTTTGGAGAAAGTGTAATTTTATTGAAAATATTCTTAAAAAAATAAAGAGGAACTGCTTGCTTCACGAAGCGCAGCAATAGCTTTTTAAAATATTTTTTTACATGCACATGTTCTTCATAGCTGTTTTCGAATTATATAATTTATTAACGAACCACGGAACAACATACGATATTTATTTGAGCCAGAGAACGTATATTGTGCTTTTTGGAGAGAACGAAAAATACTTTACGCTCTCTGCTTTTCTACTTAATACGTTCTCTGATTTTGCGTTCTCGGTTAACAGATATTTACATCGTAAATTTGTCTGACGGGTATTTTTATACCAGATTTATTATATCGTAAGTGAGAACGTAACATTTTCTTTTACTAGAGAACGACGTTCTTGGTATCCACTTGAAGAAGTCTACATGGCACGTACGAGAGAACGTACATTTGAAATATATACGATCCTTGTAAGTATGAAAAATATCGTAAATAAAAAAGCTTATTATTTTACGATATTCTTAAAGAACGTACGTTTTCTCATTGGACCAGGGAATGTTAATGAATAGAGAAGGCGCAAATGTTAGCAGTGCTAAAATGTTAATTGCTATGAAGTTCGAAAATAAAATTTCACCATACTATCAATTTACGCAACGAACTACACCACTCTATAAGCAAAATGTATATACGTACATATGCACAGATGTTATTTGGAATTGAAATAATAAAAGCAAAAGTAATTGACTGCCGACAAGAAAATATAAATATTGAGGGAAATAATATGAAAATAGAATTAAAATATCATTTAATAAAAAAGGGTTCTAAAAAATAAAAAAAGAGTTATAAAAATATTTTCATTATCATAAATATTCATTAACATTCTCTGCTACAGCGCAGGTACGAGAAAGCGTATGCACATTTGAAATATATCCGATTATTGTAAGTATGAAAAAATATCGTAAATAAAAAAGCTTATTATTTTACGATATTCCGAAAGAACGTACGTTCATCTGAAAAATATACGATCCTTGTGAGTATGAAAAAATATCGAAAATAAAACATGTTATTATTTTACGATATTCCGGAAGAACGTACCTTTTCACATTGACGATGCTCCTGGAGAACGTACGATCATCTGAAAAATATACGATCCTTGTGAGTATGAAAAAATATCGAAAATAAAATATGTTATTATTTTACGATATTCCGTAAGAACGTACGTTCTCTCAAATTTACAGTCGTTTTTAGCGTTCTTTGCATTCACCTAACGATAACTTCGAATTTATCTTACGATATATACAGAGAATGTACGTTCTGTCACAAAACCTGAATAATTTACGATTTTTTTGAGTAAAAAAATATCGAAAATAAAACAGATTATATTCATTTGATGATATTCCGGTAGAATGTACGTTCTCTCATACGACCAGAAACATATACGGTCCTTTTTAGCGTGAAATAATATCGAAAATAAACCACCTTTTAAAGTTCAATAAAATTGAGATATATTTCATTGCAACAGAAATTTTAAAATCTAACTATTTTTCAAAATTGATAAATAATGTTTTGGAAACATTACTAATAATTTTAGCATCGACACTTTAAAACATATTTTCAATATTCAATATTCAGAAACAACATTTATGTACACATATTAAAAAGAATGAGGAGTAAAAAGCAAACTTACCACAACTTTCCATATATTTTATCTACGTGAAATCCACCTGCTTGCGACAAAAAAGCTTCTTAATTAAATCACAGGAAGTATAAGCCACATATTGCTCGGCAAAGCAGAGCTTTTTCGAAGAGCTTATGCTTTCCACTGAATTGCAAGAGGAAGGATGCTCAGCAACAACGAATGTTTAGCAACCATTTTATAAATGAAGTTCGAAATTTTCACAAATTTTACAAAAGTAAGTATTTTCACAGTTTAGAAAATAATTGCAAACTTTAATCTGTTACACTTACACTTCATATATATAATACCAAATACATTTTTAAGTGAAATTGCAAACTACAAAGAACTACCGAAATTGCATTAGGCACAACTTTACAAGACCACTGGATTAATCACTCTTGTTTTCATATTTCTGCACTATTTTGACATACTACTTATTTTCATCTGTATTCCTGTTATATTCTATAAATACCCAAATCATCTTAAAGAAACACATTTTACCAATAAAAAAATACAAACTCAATTAAAATAAATTGTCCGGCTATTATTAGCGGCCCGATATATGAATTTGTTAATCACACGCGACAACATCCGATTCACTACTGAGCTGTTTCCGTCGCTGCTGCATAAATGCTCTCTCAGCACAGACAAGACCTTCTTTACATGCTGTGTAAACAGTTGCAAAGCCACTGGAGCAATTTGCGTGCACTGCGACTACATATGTTTTCAAACTTTAGTTTTTGCTTCCTTCCTTCCTTCCAATAGGTTTTGTACGCAAAAGTGCTTCTGCTTGTCAACAAGGGAAACAGCTCAGTGTCAAATCGGAAATTGTCGCTTGCGGATGTGTGGAAGTTAAAGTCGCGGTGCGGTCGGTGTTAGTTTGTGAAAAATAGTGAAATGTTGTTTGTGAAAAATTAAAGAGTATCGCTTAAGTATGATTGCAGAATTGTGTTGTGTAAATGATGTGATACAGAGCAAGCTTGTAAACTAATAGAGCTTGTGGGGCAAAGAGCGATATAATGTATGAAGTCAAATTGTTTGTTGTGCGCACAAGTGTTTTGCAATTACTAAGGTAAGCTAGTGTAGTGTGTGTAGTGGAGCGTTTTGATGAAAGTGTTGACGTGAAATTCAATATAAGTGTCGGTTTCTGTAATAAACTACAAAATAAGAGGAATATGTTCAGAAGTAAAAGACGCGAATAATATGCAAATTCATGTTGTATTTTAAAATGGCCGTCAGCTAGGTTGTTGTGTGTAAGCGTCACAGTCTTCGAAAAAGCTCCGAGTAGCTGAACCACTTCCAGTAAAAGCTCGTTCGTTTCGAAAAACGTTATGTTCGTCATCGAAATGTCGGTTATGCGTGTGAATCGTTATTTTAGGTGCTTTAAAAGCACACGGACGTTTAAACGTTTAAATGAGAATTCAAGGTGAATAATATTGATGTAGCATGTAATGGTGAGTTTCCTTTGGTGTAAATTCAAGGTGAATATTATTGATGTAGCATGTAATGGTAAGTTTTCCTTTGGTGTAAATTCAAGGTGAATAATATTGATGTAGCATGTAATGGTGAGTTTTCCTTTGGTGTAAATTCAAGGTGAATAATATTGTTGTAGTATGTAATGGTGAGTTTTCCTTTGGTGCATATTTTACTGTTTTTAGTATTTCTTTATATTTCAACTAATTTGTGATTAAATATGTTTTATTTATTTATTTACCATTTTTAACAAAATAAATGAAAAATACAATTTTACCATTATTAACATAATAATTATAGAAGATTTGGATTAAATAATATTAGGAATTAACATTTACTAGTTTACATAGTCCTATTAATCAGTCTAAAATGTTTTTAGAATTATGTTAGAAGGCTTTGCAACCATGCATGAATGATTTTTTCGACATATATTTTGATACATTTTTCCTAAAATTCTTGTCCTCAATTTTTGCACACGTACTTTTCTCCACAAGAAGCTGCACATATAGTTTAAATTCAAACTAAACGATCAAAATCATGTTTTTGTATGGAAAACTCTTTTACTTGAGGAGATATCTTCGCAAAATTTGGCTCGAATTATTGTATAAGGCAGCGGTACAACCTTTGAAAAAATTGTTCATGGCATACAAACTTCCATACAAACTGTTCAATCAAAATCCAGTCCTTGTATGGAAACAGATTGATACATTTTGTAAATAATTATTATAAAGCTAATAAAAACCCTTATTTGTTAGTTAAAACTACCTGATTAAGGCTAAGGGAATATAAAGAGAATCTTGAGATAGCTTAATGGGATATATTTGCTTAATAGTAAATTTTCAGTTAACTGCATAGGTTTAAATCAATGCTAAAAAGCTTTCATAAAAGCTACAATTGAAATTAGAAGCTTAATTTGATAAAATTCCCTTAAAAGGGTAATTAAAGCATTCTACGCATTTTCATATCAAAAATGGGCAGAATCGTGTGACTATGTATCTTACTTAACTTTAAATAAATCAATATTCTATAAAAGCTTTCAGTTTGGGCGTGTTTTAGGTGCTTAATATTTTTTTGATGAAAGAGAGATGAAGAAATATTGTTTCCTTAAACGCTTTTGGCATAAAATCGT